AAATGTTACCTGCCACCGTGGAAAAAGGAAATTTCCCTTTCAACGAGCAAAACATATAAATTAATATATATAAATATATATATGAAAAAAATGTTCATCAATTTTATTTTTTAAAAATTAAATAAAAAAAATAAAATTACAGTCATTTTAATAAATTTTTATTAAAAAAATTAAATTATTTTATTTTTAAAGATATATTAAGATTTTTTTTTTCTCTTAATTTTTTAACGATACGACGGAGAGAAGCACTAACCCTATATATATATATATTATTATTTTTCTTTCACCTCTACCTCATCATCCATGTACGAGGGTAAAATCAGATTCAGATCGCACTGACGCTGAAATCCAACATCGATTTATTATTCCGATTCCCAAACTTTGATTCTCTAAGAGCTCTCCCTCACCGCCACCATTCATCGTCGCAGCCGTCATAAATTTCTCAATTCAGGTTCAATCATGGATCCTTTTGTACGATTTTCTCAGATCCGGGGTGGCTTCTGTTCGATTTAGGTTTTTTCATGTTTCTGGGCTTGATAATTTGCTTAAAAAGTGAAAGGCGGATGCTTTGATTTGTTTGAATTGGAAATTTAAAAATTTTTTTAATGCTTTTTAGGAGTTGTTGAGGTGGGAAGATCAAGATGGGAGCTTTCATATCCAAGTTCTGGTTCATGATGTTTCCTGCAAAGGAGTACAAGATTGTGGTTGTAGGGCTGGATAATGCTGGCAAAACGACGACACTGTACAAGCTCCACCTCGGGGATGTTGTCACCACCCACCCTACTGTTGGCAGCAATGTTGAGGAGCTTGTCTACAAGAATATACGCTTTGAGGTGATTTTACAAGTTCTCCATTTCAGTTCTTTCCTTTTAAACTGAGCTTTCACTGTGATAATTGCTAAATGATTTGTGGGTTCTATGTTATAAAAATGCTACTGGTCTGTAGAGTCAATGGGAACTATGCCAATTGCATTGATTGCTTGTCTTAAGTGTTTGTGATTGGGATACATGCAAATGGTTAAAGATTGATATTGATTTCAGTTCATGAAGATTTCATAAGAGAAGCATGATTCTTGTCTATCGAATTCTATAAAGATTTTAGATTTTTTTTTTTTGTCTCTGACGGGGTGGGTGAGGCAATCTAGGGAAGGAAGATTGACAAAGGAAGATTGACAAAGGATATCATTAGTTGAGAACACAGGGGAAATATAGCTGCGAGGGAAGGAGGGTTTATATGCAATTGGATAGAGAAGTCAAGAGACTGTTCTTTCCTTGGTTTCCTTCAGATTATGTAGGGGATGCACAAAGTGTAAAAGCAGAGTGGGTATTTTAATGAAAATTTAAAATGTAAAACTCCATGCCTCATAAGAATCGGAATGTTACAAGGATTGATCTACTATTAGTATTTGTCACGGACTGAGATTTGAAAACAAACCTTTCTATAGAGTATAGGCTGTTTACTTTAGAGTCAGTGCGTTTAATGGAAACGAGAGGAAATGATGGTCAGTAAGAAGTTCTCTTTCTGACTGTATGTGCTGGACAGGTTATCTTATATCATGCTATATTTGAATTGTTGTAACGTCTGGTGCTAGACATTTAGACAAATTAGACAGGTTTAATCTGTTAATATGTTGTTTGAGATAGTCCACTCTTATTTCATTGGTTTTGTTTACCTTGTTAAGAGATTAATAAGGGAAATATCATTCTGGCCAGAAAAAAAAGAGGGGAATATCGTGGGATAATCAAAACAGGAAGCAAGCAAAAACCAAAAAGGAACTAGTGGGTTTTATATGCAACGTTAAAAGCCAAAAAGGAGCTGGTGGGTTTAACATGCAAAATTTATGTTATGTTGAAGTTAAATTAGCTTGAGAATTGTAATGCAGTTCCACACCATTGAATGATGATCTGCTTTATGGGAGGCCTTGCAGAAGTCTGTATTAGTACCATTGGGCAACAGTCTCTAACAAGTGTTATCCTTGATTCCATCTTTACCTTGATGGTCTGTGTGGGTTAATTTTACTTACTTTCTAAGAAGTTCTTTGATTGAGCTTCCATCTTAACTTCACTAATTGAATTGAGAATGTCTTATTTTACTCTGAAATTCACTTTTCAAATACAAATGCTTATTAGACAGACTAAGCCGGGTAGTTTTAATGGTTTTTCCCCAATGGAAATTGTGTTGTTAGTGAGAAGAAAGAATTGGGGAGGTTGATTGCAAAAGTTATGTATTACCATTAGTCATGGTTTTTATCAAGTTCTGTTGGTTATGGTGGGCAGCTAAATATAATTATTTGCCTCAGGTCTGGGATCTTGGTGGACAAGAGAGACTCAGAACATCATGGGCAACGTATTATCGTGGAACTCATGCTGTTATTGTGGTGATAGACAGCACTGATAGAGCCAGGATTACCATTATGAAGGATGAACTCTTCAGGTTGCTTGGGCATGAGGATCTACAAAATTCCGTTATTCTGGTCTTCGCAAATAAACAAGATCTCAAAGACGCAATGACACCAGCTGAGATCACTGACGCCCTTTCTCTTCACAACATCAAAAATCATGATTGGCACATTCAAGCCTGCTGTGCGCTTACAGGAGATGGGCTGTACGATGGTCTAGGGTGGATCGCCCAACATGTTACTGGGAAAGCACAGAGTTGAAAAAAAGTATATCTGGTTCAATTTTCACATATTTATGGATTTGAAGGATGAGAGAAACCCAAGCAACTTTTGTGTACCATCTGCTGTAAAAAAGCTGTTTCTTACTAAATTTCTAGATTGTTTTCACAGTTCAGTTTGCATGAATGCCATGTCCTACACAATGAAACATTTCATTTAACATTTGAGAAAGAAGAAAATGTTGCCATAAATAGGACCGAAAATGGTGCTATAAACTTTTCTGCACAATGATGCATTTCCAGCAAACATCTTGTGAACGATGGTGACTACGTCAACCCAAACTATCCAACATTCTGCAAGTTGAGGCCGCTTGAAACGAAAGATAATGGTTTTCTAAACTTCAAATCGGTAATCATCACAACCTCCAGCATCTGCAACCCTGGGCATCCTTAGGGCCTTCGAACCAGATATCCCATGATGCATTTAGAGGGCCAAGTGTTCTATTGAGTCAAGATGAACAGGTTTTCAGATATTTCCATAAGTCCATGACAGGTTAGAGAGAATTAAATAATTACTATAAAAGACTGCAAAAGTAGTAGATTTATTACACTGGGAGTAGTGGATCGGGTCCGCTTTCCACATTACTCAACAATCTGACATACACAGAAGTAAATAAACAAGTAAACACCTTTGCATAATTGCACTTGATTGTGTGTTAGCCATGAAATAGCTAGAATGTTTATCATACTTACTCCTTGCATGCGGCTGACGCTTTCTCCATCTTTTCTAGCTGATCCAGCTCTTCCTGTGTGCAGAGACCATTAACTGCTAATATTAGGGAGGATTAGACTAGAATTTTAGCAAAGAGAATATCATGGGCCATAGCAAGAAAGAAAATTCCTTCTAGCACGGTAATTTTGGGGCCACCTCCTGGAAGCAACTCAAAACTGACTTATCTAACCCAGTTAAAGGAACTTTATCAAATCTCGAGGTAGGTTAACTAGCTGAATCAACATGATTGTATTGAGATAGTCCATCAAATGATACAAGTCTTTTAACTGACTCTTGATCTTTTGCTGAGCAACTCAAGGGAGCCAGTTCGTAATAATTTGATAACCATATGCATCCATATAAGGGATGACTGTGAAGATACAAGTTTTACAGAAATACAAGGCAATAACAAACCTGAGGCGTCAGCTAGACAGCTATTTCCACTCAGCATCATACTGATACGCAGTACAATGGGTAAATTTTGTTCTGGTTTTTCATTCCTCTTTTTGCAAACAATTTGTTCTAGTTCACACTCAGAAAAACACTAATAGCTCCATTCTATATAGTTCCGGCAAAAATGTAGTGGAGATCGTCTCAACTCAGATTTGAACCCTAGCAAATAAGATTTCATTTTGGCCCAAATTTTAACCCATTCCAACAATCCAACTTGCCAAATCCCTGGGTGTCCGTGTCTAATTAAATTAAAATCATCCATCTATTGGTTTAGTTCCAACTTCCAACAACTCTATTTTGCTTACCTGAGGCAGGTATGGCTCAATTAATTTTTCTCTTACTTTGTCACTACTTCCACTTTCTGTTTAGTCCTTAATTCTCAATGGCATCAAAGATAAGTCACAGGCATTTGTCCAAAACCATACCACACTCCAAGTTCAATCCACATCCACATGTCTCTTGAGCTGTATCTCGTCAAGACCATTGTAAAAATAATTCTCACCCAATTAATGACCACTAACCTTTTGTGTATAAGTTGAACAAAAACCCCCCAAGCCAAACTTTAAAATTCACTTTTTCCAGCACAGTTTAGATAAATTACTATGAAAGCCCCCTTGCAGTTCTAGCTTAACAGCATTAACGCTTATAAACAATGAAAAATAGTAGAGAATTGCGTTTCATCATCTAGGCAGTAAATGATATATGAGTAAATGTGGTAGCATGCTTTGAACAATAGAAATCCATTTCAATAGATGATAAATGTTGCAAAGAAACTGCTATCCAAATCAACATAAAAGAATGACTTGGGATCATAGTAGCAAACTTTACCTCAATAGAAAAAGCAATCAGAACCTCATTAATGAAGCTTACATCAATTTTTACATTTACATAAATGATGATAATGTTGATGAATAAAATGGCTCAACTCAAGAAAGGAAAATTCAACAAAATCAAATAACAAAGCGCACACACCAGTTGGCGAAAAAGGTGAAAAGGGTGGTGTTAAAACTTCAAAACTCTCTCGAGGTCAGACAATATCAACTGGTCGGACAAAGAAGAAATAACTAATGATAAGCTAAACAAGTTGAAATTATGATACCAGTTGCTTTGAAGTTTGAATAAACTAAGCTATTTCTAACTCTGAAGCCTTTTCAAGAAACCAAAATGGTCATCTCTCAAGAAGAACAACAAAATGGAAGTGAAAGTCAGTCACGAAATAGATTCATGGCTTAATGTCCCTATTTGATTCCAACTTGCTAAATCAAAGACTCCACAAATTCAAGGAACGCAACTAATCACGACAGTGAAACAAAACGCACCTCAAATTCCACATTTGTGATGCTTACAATCAGATGGTCAACCCAATTCAGATTGTCATCTCTCATTCATGACCAGAAACAATCATATAAATGACTAAAGAACAAAAACCCAATTCCCAAAACAACAACAAACAATGAAACAACAGTTCATACAGTTAATAAACTCCAGATAAAAAGGAGAATATTATAATAATATAAGAAAAAGCGTACTAACCTCTAAGAATCTAGCTTCTTGCTCTAACCGTTTGAGTTCAGCTTGTATCCTGTGCTTTCCTCTGGTATCAGCAACTCCAAAAGACTGAATCCGCTGGGTAGACGGACTCCTGTGGTAATCGGATTGGCCCGATTGCATTATCTTACAATCAAAACAGCTCTAATAAGGGTGACCCAGAAATCCCTAAAGGCCAAAGCTTTGGTATTGGACAACGGGCAAAGCTTTGGTATTGGACAACAACCAAAGAACCGAACCAAAAAGTGAGAAAAGCCAAAGCTTATCAAGAACAAGACACCATTAAACAGGTTAATAAGGATGACCCAGAAATCTTCATGGACCCCAGAAGCTAAGAAACAAGTACCCTTTGAAAAGGAGTGGATCTGTGCTGTGTGAAAGCTAAAAGCAGGTGAAACAGTACAATTTGACAGATTTGTGTTGGATTTTTTTTTTTTTTTTTTTCATTCAGGGTCTTTCGAGGAAAAGGTAAAAATGGAAAGAGGCTTTTGAAAGGGGTTTTGAAAGGGAAAGATGGAAACTTTTTATTAATACTGTGCCGTGGAAAAGAGCGCTGGATGAAAGCCGGTTCTCTTTTCATTTGTAATTGCAAGATCTTCTCTTATTTTCTGGGTCCTTATTTGTTTTTGGTCTCTCTTTTTATGCTTCGTAAATTCCAAATGCTTTTGTGCACTCGATGCTTTGCTTTTGTTTTTGTATTTGTTTTGTACCGTTGCGTGGGAATCGGTGACCCGGAGCCACCCATGGCGGCAATCTCGCTGTTTTGGTTTCTTTGACTTCCTTCCAACTCTCGAATGTACTATTCGGATTGGAAGTGTCGGACGAA